CTGGATCCCTACCCCAAAGTACCAAGGCACAAGCGCGTGGGTGGGGGGGGCACGTACTACCACAGGCATGCTACGTAATACTGCAGGACAGGGAAGGGCCTAAGATCTAAGACGTTTTCTTCGATATGACGAGAGGTCCTTCACTGAGACTTTGCCCCAAGGGTGCATCACTGGAGGTTTTAGTAGGTGCATCAGACGTCATTCTCCTAGGAAGGGGAAGGCAAAATCGAAAAGGTAGACTCAGCTCAAAGAAAAGGGGAAGCTACTACTACAAGAAAGTCTGTACTATTTAAATATTAATAAAAACGTATATAATAAATTGACAATTTTTGATTGTCCAGATAAACATTGCTATTTAATGGTACTATATATCTACTCCAAACAAATTTTAAATTCAACACTTCATGAAACATTCTTTCCCATACAATTTTACTATTCGCCGAGCACAAATTGTTTCAGATTTCTCATGCCTGTGTGCAGGAAACGACCAACCCCGACGCTTCCTCTTGCGCTCCTCCCTCGGCGCCGCGTTCGCTTTGTGGGCCTACGACCACAAGCAGCCTGTGGATTGACGCAATGCTTCGTGGTTGTACGGGATTTCCCGCCAGGGGCGCCCCAACTTCAATGATGACGCAGGAGACTGCGAGCGTGCTTCGTCAGTCACATTTTCAAGTACTCTCTTTGTTTGACCTTTGTAGGTTTATCTTTCCCCCGATTATTTATAGGTATGTTAACGGTGCGGAATAATTAATATGGTTACTGAATTAAGTTACTTTTCCTGTCGGAAAATGATTTACGCGTCTAGTATTTGTAGTGAAAAGGGTCATCTACAGCACATGACTAGGGTAAAATTCCCGTGGTTATATTTTTATACAAAAATGTGTAGTAATAATTTTTACAATATAAATTATATTTTTAAAATTTTCCCCTCGATAAATCTATGCATTTCTACGACGACTGAAACTAAAAATTACTGTTGGCGAAAATCGCTAATGTTAACAAGCGCTCTTTGATTGTCCCAGTTACCTCCGTAGTTAACCGCTTAGCAACATTTCAAAGAGGTTTTCGACCGTCGTTTTCGTTTTTACGTCAGGGAAGTGATTAGAGTGATACTCATGCGGGTCCCTACATGAATTAGGGTGTTTCGATCCCATCTCTGCAATTTTGAGGACTGTCAGAAATAGATTATGTAGAAAATGGAATGTCATCATTATATTCTACTTCCATACCTGTAAGTTAATTTTGAGAAAACTCTTCATTAATAAGTGCGAGGAACTTTGTTGACATAGTTGTTTTGGTAACTATAGTGTCGAATGTAATTGAGATTAATAGATTCTTAGCAATGCATGCATCTAAACATTCAATTTTACTAATAAATATTTGCAGCCTTTTATATTATTCCAAAAGCCGGATGGATTATATAGCAGGGTGATGACTAGGGAGCTGGTTTCTATTATTTTGCATATTTTTGTCCGTTGTTTCAGAGCATAGCTACGTGAAAGTTCTTGACATTTGGTTAGAATTGGATGCTATGTAGATTAATATGTTAGTGCGTATTTGGCCGATTTTTCCTGTTAGTGCATATTTGCATAATTATAGGGGGCATATTTTTCATATTTCGTTAAAATACTGTCTTGTCTCTAAAACGTTCCAACTTTCCATTCGATCTATTTATTTGTGGGTGTTCATCGATTATAAAGAGATTATCAGTTTGCGTTTCTTGTTTTTTTCTTCTTTTCTGTAGATGATAAAATACTTGTGCAAATGTAGGAAATTTCTTGATATCACATTTTTTAAACCAGATAGAAAAAGTGCTACAGAACATACAATGTACTTTACTAAGGTGAATATTTAATTAAATAATTTCTCCCGCGAAGTAAGATAGATTATATAATGTTTTACCCAAAAATATATATTTTCTTTCCAAGCATGCTTCTCCTGAATTTTATCAAGAAAGTTTTATAGAGGAAATGAAATATTGATAATTTTAATTGCAAATTAATGTGCTTATTTTAGAATTTTTAGATCATAAATGCATATTTTTAAAAGCATTTTTCAAGTTTTAGGGCATACAATTTCTCTCCCTAGTAATAACTGTTTGCCTCTGCAGTGACTCAGACAGAGGTCTAGGTGGTGGTGGTGGTGATGGTTTTTGTTGACTGTGGAGGCAAAGTGGAAAACAGTCTCTGTCATGAAGAGAATTCTTCCGAGCGCCTACTCTTAATGCTAATATTACGTGTTTCCCGTTCATTATATTTATAGGATACTAACACACGCTCCACGCACTGCGCGTGCATTTTCCTCCTTCGCCTTCCACACACACGCAAACAACCATACACACACACAGACACAAACAGACTTATCAGTGCTTGATTTATTAAATTTTAGGTTCTGGAACGCGCCCCTAATTAATTATTCATTTAATACAATTAGTTACATATTATAATAAAATTAAATAATTATAAATCATACATAATAACACTTAGTAACTGACTGTATGTGACCGTAATCACAGTCAGTAATAATAATAATAATAATAATAATAATAATAATAATAATAATAATAATAATAATAATAATATCAACAACAACGCCGGTCCGTCGCGTTCCGCCAGAAATGAAGCCCTGGTACTAATATTGTAGAATAATTGTTGTTGCCGGCGTAAACAAAAGGTAGCAAAATTCCGTTTTATTGTGTCAAAAGTAGTAATGTATGAATATCATTCAAAAGTATTGCGATGTCTCAATGATAATTTTCCATTGAGGGCATTAGTCACAATTTACGTTAATTTAAACATTTTAATATTTCAAACGGACTGCCGATTTAAAGAATTAAATAAAACTAGATGAAGCTTGTTGAAGCATCCCCACGAGTGTGTCAAACATTAGCGTACATTAGCGTGTTAAATGTTACATTATTATTCTTACCTGGAATTGACACCTGGAATCCTCTGGGCTTAAACGCCACGAGAGTAGCTTGAGGAATTTCGTAACTGTGAATTCCCGAAAGAAGCACTACAAGCACAAGTCGAAGGAAAATCCGCTTCAACGTCATCTTGCTGGCGAGTGCGAGCCAGACCTGCCCGACTACTCGAGTGGCGGATTCAGCGGCGACTGGCGGCGAGCGTCTGCCCGGCCGCGGCGCAGCGGGCGCAGCGGGCACCGCAGTCTCTTGAACCCAAGGCCAGACCCGGAAAACCGCGCCCCGCTTCCTCGCCTCGCTCGTCGCGCCACTTGCAGATGAGGACGACGGTCATACGGATCTGTGATTCATCGCTGGTAGCGAATCGCTACTGCAAGGAATCTCCAACCGGGCAGAGGAACGCATGAGCCACTTGTCGCTAAATCATGCCTTCCTGTTTGGAAAAAGAAGGGTTTTTCTCTGCACGTGATTTGAATTTTTTTTTTCTACCGGGAGAGATGGCTCAGGGCATCAAGTGATGTCACTGCAGTCCCTCTGACTGGGAGGTCCTAGGTTCGAGTCGCGACGATTTTCGACCTAGCTTGTTAGCGAGGTCGAATTCAGTCGCTGTCTGGAGGAGAATTCTAGCGGCCGGCTGATCTGACCGTGGTTCGATGTGATTGTGATGATGGTGATCTGATCTGTTTTCTGTGGTTTCTCCGATCAACACCAAGCGATTGCCGGAGCTCGGTACCCCCACAAAAGGGCCACAGACCGTGCGCGATCTTTCCTTCCTCTTCCTATCCTCATCCCTTACATACACTCTTACACTAACATTCACTATACTACCACACATCCGTCAGAATCTAAGAGCTTGGCCCGACTCGGGCGGTGCCCCGCTGGTGGTAGGGGAAAACCGCGCTAGCCGGCGGTAGGTCGGCGCCGGATCTCGCCATACAGCGACCAAGATCACCACCACCTCTCAAGCAAACACATGTATTACACTTTCGGGACTAATGACCCTGGTAGTGACGAGCCCGGAATCACTAACCAATCAATCAATCAATCAATGAAACATGGACCGCTTTTTTAAGTTCCTTTGCTGTATTCGAGGGGAAAAACAAAAAATTCCGAGCCCGAACTACAATCGATTCAAAAATGATGAAATAAATTATAGTATTATGAAACTGCGTAATTTCTCAACTATTTACTTACCTTTTAGTGGTTTTATTTCAGGCAGTTGAAATTGACATGTGAAACACAGGAGTAATGGGTGGAACTTTTACCAAGCAGAAATTGCATTCGAAGTATTTCAGTAAAAAAGATAAAATAAAAAAAAAAATAAAAAAAAATTTTTAAAAATCCAACGGATGCACATGAAATAAAAATACTACGTAAGTAATGCACTATGATAACACTTAAACCACAGCACTATTATGTATTATGACTGACACACACTCATACGTAATATTCTTTCAGTATTCCACTGATAAATATCTTTCGTATTCATTTTTTCGAAATCATATTCATCGTGTTCATCGAAACTGTTAATAAACAAAATGGTTTATTAGCAGCATTCTTGTTATGGTAATCAATTTCAACGCCAAACCAATGACGAATTCCCCAAGCGAGCGAATACAAAAATTCACATTCGCTGTAATATTTACAAGAATTCGAGAAAGTGTAGTAAAACAAAATACACAGAATTGTTTTATTAGCGCCATGGTTTACTTTTTGTTTTTGTTCAATACTTACTTTTTATTCTATGTGTGATTAAAAACACCTAAACTTTTTAGTATTTTTTTCATTCTTGGGCCCCAAATATGTTGGGCAAAATCAAACTTTTGAAAATATAAGAGAATTGAACTCTTTTTCATTGTGAAAATTTCGGCGAAAAATGTTCCATAGTTTTTGAGAAAATTTGGTTCGAACATTTCAGAAAATTCGCCCCTTTCAGTTCCCTTATATTCAACGATCGGTATCAAGGATCCACAAAACAGGGGTACTGGTTACACCACATGTAAGAGAATTTTTTTCAGTTTAGTAAAGGGAACCTGCACTTTTTCGTTATCAGGGCCCGAAATTTTTTGTATCGAAAATCCGCATTCTTTCGCACAGCATTACATAACTTCTCTATTGTACGTATTTTACACTGTATATTCTTACACATACGAGAAAGTAACTACTGGTGCTACAGAATAGCACAACATTTCTCGCATTAGTTTTCTCATTTTCTTTGGACTGGGCTATCTATTCAGACTTGCCACGTACTCTTGCTAACTGCTATCTATCACCGCACAAAGTACAAGTATACTTTTTTGAAATTTCCCCAATTTATCGGTTTCTCAAAAGTAGAACCGAAATATTACTGTAAGAATATTAAAGAACAGTAAAATCTCGTCCTAAATGGCAATTTTCATTGGAAGGTTTGGACCGGTTTTTAAAAAACTGGCGTTTAAGCATCTGTGAAAGCGATATATGTAACTCTTTTTCCCAGAACATCTTTGAGTTTTCGAAAAACTTCACACGTATCAGAAGAATCTTTATCGATTCCGCGGTGTGGATAACTGCCAGTATCTCGAAATTCTAAATATTTCATAAATCTTCTCTGACAATTGACCAAAGGTTTTTGTAGTCCTTTACGAACGGGCAACGAGACGATTAGCACTATACGTTGAAAATACGTTCCGCGTTTCAGAAAATGCGGAATTTTCAGTTCATTTTCACAGAACAATTTTGAGTTTACGAGAAGCTTTTTATAACAATTTTTAAAACACATGTACTCATAAATACAATAATGTTAACAAATCGCAACTAATGTAAATATTAACGACGTTGAAACGACGACTGAAAAACTACATTATGGTAATTTATGAAAAACAAAAAGAAATAGAGAAATTCGTACTTTGTGTCATCTTATAGAATACTTTTACCACTATTCGTACCAAAAGAAAACTTTGACGCCGTTTTTGAGAAAATCTTATTTTTGTTATTTTTTTAAAATTGTACATATTGCACGAAAACTAGTAAAATTTTCAAAATATATTCGTTACCCTAATGTATGAATTAATTATGAACAACAATTTTTATTGGAAGAAGAAATGTCTATCTTCACTTTTGTAGTAGGAAGACGGCAAAAATTCAAATTAGAGTTAATTGCGAAATCGAACCTACGCCATCTTCATAAGTGTATGTTACTCTATTCTTTCCAAAAAAGTAAAGAGAAAAATGAAAATGTTGAAAACATTTTGAAAATGTCCCAGGGTCTTCATGAAAAGTACCCCCAAAATTAATGAATGTTTTTCAATATCACAATGCTTCGACTCAGGCCAGATCGAGAGGGGTTTATTCAGTTTAGAAAAAATCGTATGTGTAGATTACGCGCATTACGCGGAAATAAAAAAAAATCGGTATCAGGGATCCCCAAAACGTGTATTTCCGATGAAATCTCGAAATCGATTTTCCGCAGCATTACATAAATTTCTCTATACTAGCTATATTACTCCGTATATACGTACGTATACGAGAAAGAAACTAGTCCTACAAATTACCCCTTGGGCATTTTCAAAGTTTAAGAAAAGAAATAGCTCAATCGTGTTTGATGAAATTATGTTGTTAGATAGTGTGAAGGAGGGTAAGAGAATTGTGTAAGTCTCATGTTGGTTGAAAACCTTCATAATTTTAAAAATTGCAAAAATTCCGAATTTTTTCGGCGTTTTCCTATAACTCAAATATTAAAGATATTTTTCCTTTAATGAAATCTACTCCTTACTTATATATTTTGAAATAAGGTCATGTACAATTTTTCAAAAATTTGAGTACTTAACGCGTACTTTTGCGTGATATTGGGGCAATTTTAATATTTTAATTGTTTAAACGTTTTTCCGAAAACAGCATCAACAATTTTGATTATACTTCATTAAACTTGGATGGCGTATAGAACGTTTAAGAGAATGGAGCAGGTTAGACAATGGAGAATGTTAGTTGAAAATACTGATTTTTGAAAATTGCAAAAATTCACATTTTTTCGGCCTCTTCTAACAACTACAAATATGAAGACAAACATTTTTCTTAAAGCAATGTGTTCATCAAAAACAACTTCAAATAATGTCATGATCAATTTTTTGAAAATGAGTATTTTTGCGAAATTTTGTGTCAGACAATTTTTTTATTTTCTTTCAATAGTTTTTTCTTAAAAACGGCACATTTTTTTATTAAATGTGGGCCTTAGATAACGTAAAGGACGCTGAAGAAAATGGTGGAGGTCTCTTGTTCTTTGAAATATATAATTTTTCAGAAATGTAAAAATTAAAAATTTTCATCGACTTCCTACAATTAGAATTGTTAATACACAATTTTTCTTAATGAAATGTGTTCATAAAAATAAGATCAAGTAAGGTCATGTTAAATTGTTTCGAAAATAAGGATCTTTGCGCGTAATATGGCGTCAAACATAGCCGCCCGCTTCGAATTTCCTGCGCTTCGTGAACGTAACTTGAGAAGGGATTCCAGGCAGTTGGATGAAGTTAGAATTTCTGAAACGGGACGGGAAACGAGGAAGTAGAGAGGAGAGCGGCCGGCGGAGAGGTCGGGTGAGGTGCAGGGCGACCTACATGGAGCGCCCGAGAGTCGAAATTGCTGCTTCTCGGGACGGACGCTGCGGAGCGACCTGTCGGTCGACCGGGGCATCATTGGTGGCGTCACGTGTATTACTCGCGCCACTTTTCTTGAACGATGACCTTGCTTCCCCCTCTCTGGCACAAGAAACAGTTGAAGGCAAAAGCTCGCAGCGAGCACTGATGACAACATTCCAAACTCATCTTCACTGGCGCGAAATATAAACTATTTTTTGTAGAAAATTTGCCCGTGATTTTCTCCACAAGAATGTAAAGAATTGTCCGAGACAGGTGAATATCCATCACAGGAGATACCTCGAACTCCTGAGAAAGTTAGAACGCACATTATTGAAAAAGTTGTGAAGGCACACTACTATGAGTTCTTTACATATAAAAGAAGCTAGAGTTCCATAATGCAAATGTGAATAACAAATATTTAATAGAGCAGGCTCTTCCTCAGACCCTTGCTATTGCATGATATCAGTTGTGTTGTGAGCAGTAATGCACAGAGTATGAGAATTTAGCTAATCTCTGAATGCAATATGAGAATAGGCAGAACATAATAAAAAAATGCATTTATTAGTGAAAATCAAATGATTCTTGGTTTGAGGATGTTAACTGAAATCCTAGGTCGCTAACAAAATCAATACCTCTCTCATGGACATGGGCTGTTTAGATTCCTCTCAATTTCTGTGCATATACAATATTAGTAATATATTATTATTATTATTATTATTATTATTATTATTATTATTATTATTATCATTGTTATTATTAGGTGCACCTTTTTCTTGAAAGCTGGAATATGAAACAAACAAGAAAATCTTAATAAAATAAATACAAATATTTATTAAGCAAAAAGGAGTAAATTAATAATTACTGAAAATAATTAATAAAAAATAAAAGCATTATGGCTCCTTAAAATGACAATTTGGGCAATTCTTCTTTCCTAAACCTTCCTTGAATAAGCTTTCAAAATTGAAAAATTCTTATAACACTGGTCCTGATGATATACCTGAAAAAAATTGTAAGGCCATGCATTTCCATTTGCTATGCCTCTGTCTAGACTTTATAATAAATTTTTATTACCAGAAACATTTCCCATGAATAGGAAAATCAGTTACATCACTCCAGTATTTAAGAATAGAAATAAAAATGATGTTAGTAATTATAGCCCAATTAACATTCATAGTAATGTTCCAAAGGTTTTTGAAAGCATTGTCTTTGATTACTTGAAACTTCAATTTGTGATCGATGTAAGTGAGCAACAACATGATTTTATTACGTGTAGATGTACACTAACAAATTTGCTATTGTTTACAAATGATGTTGAATCTGCAATAGAGAAAGGACATCAGGTTGATGTGCTTTACACTGATTTCCCTTAAGTTTTCATTAGTGTAAATATCAAACTCTTACTACCCAAATTGAGTTTATTAAATGTTAATCAGTTGCTATTTAATAGGTTGCAATCAAATAATCAAGTAAAAAAACTACAAATCTTGTACAACATCAGTTACATAGGGAGTAGCATAGTTCTCATTCAAGTCATTGGTTATTATTGATATTTATTAATGACATAATGAATTTGTTTAAAAACAGCTCTTTTAGTTTCTTTGCTGGTGTTTGTAAGTTTTGATGTGTAATATCTGACAAAAATGATGCTGTACCTTTGCAGCATGACTAGTCTTGTATAGTGGCATCAAAGAAATTTTATTAATTTTAATATAAATAAATGCAAGTTACTTCATTGTAATCAGGAGAGGAATGCTATTTTAACAAGCTATACTATTGATGGATAAAACTTGGAACGTGTTACTGAAATTAAAGATTTGGGAATTATTGTTGATATTAAAATGTATTTGAATGAACATCCTGATTATGTGATAAATAGATCTTTAAAGTTATTAGGTTTTGTTAAAAGACAAACATGCAAATTGACTTTATTAAATTTACTTTCAATATTATACAACTCTTTAGTTAAATCTAAATACCTGTATTATTCTTGAGTACGGTCTCCTAGCACTATCAAATTAAAATGATTGAAAGGGTTTAGCACATATTTTTCTCATTTGCAGCATACAAGGCTTATCTTGAAAATGCCAGATATAATCATAACTACTCAGTAATTACTAAATTATTGAATATACCATCATTGGAGTCTGCGAGATTGACAAATAATATAAACTTCTTACAAGGTTGATTGAATGTGTTGCATTAAGGAATCTATTTGCTGAATATTCATATCCACATAAGATTAGAAATGTAAAGTACTTCACGAAATTTTTGGTAATTTCAATTTATGTACGTCTCCGCAATTCCCAAACATTCTAGGATTACAAATGAAACATCTGGCAATTTGAGTTTTAATCTATACTCATTTTCTGAAACTATTAAACATCATGCTTCTTAATTTTATAATGGTCATTAAGGACTTATTTCTTACTTTGTATTTGAACTTGCAATGCTTGTATTGGATCTTTTAACATGAACAGTTATCATATATGTATTGGGCTACATACCCTGCTGTATCTATCTTTCTTTTTTTAAGCTATTAACTTGTAAAAGATTATGATTATTTACACATTAATGAAGCGTGGGCAATTTTTGCACTAAATAATACAGCTGACATTTAGAGGCTAAAAAAAAAAAATGGAAAATATTTCTTTATTACCCATATGAAAATCAGAAACCAAGATCAAGAGAAGTCTCCAAGTAAAACATAACTTCATCTCTACATCTCTCAGCATGTTACAGGAAGTTTGGGAGCTGCTCGTGTTATGGGTGTACGATTTCACTCGGAGAGGCATTGCCTGAATTGCCAATAGTTGTAGAAATAGCTCTTAGATGTTTCGATAGGACTCCCTTTACAAATTTGGGCGAAGTCCCACAGTAGCATGCGATGTGTGACCATCCACTGTTTTCCAAATTGCCACATCTTTCAATACATATCCAAAACTTTAAAGCATTGAACTTGAAAATACTCATAATATCAATTTATTTATATAAAATTTAGTGAAATATGTAATATTTTTTTCAATAAAAATATTTATTTTGAAACAACTTTATCAAAATATTTATTTTTAGGTGATACAACATGTGATATATGTAAACTATGGGGGACTACATGAATTTCCACTAAACATTCAATGGTGAAGATTAACAGTCCCAGCTCTATTAATTAAGACTGCTTTTGTGAGAAAAACTAAAAGTAATGGTGTGTTTACACCTCCCTTAGTTATCAGAGGAAAAGAAGGGCTTCATTAAACTGAAGTTTTAGTCATAATAAATAGGCTTTAATTTTTTAATGATAAATTTAATGAACCTACTAATCAAAAATATATTTTTTAAGGCACTGTTCAATCCAGCATTAACAATGTAGGTTATAAAATCAATTGATACACAATTTCTCTATAGACTACAGACTTTAGACTCTCTGTAGACTACATTTCACAAGAAAGATAAGAATTCAATCTTTAACTGCTATAAAAGAAAAATGATCATTTCAACATTCTGCTTACAATAAACAATGTTCAGAGGCAGGATTGTCATCATATACTTTTCCAATACTCCTCCCATTTATTAGCTTCTTTAAGCAACAAATAGCCATACTTCCTTTTGCTATATCTAGTTTTTATATTATACAAACGTTATGTCCATATTTTATGAAAATGCTTCACATAATTGAAATACCAAATAATTTTGAGGATGTGAATCAAATAACAAAAGCTATTAAAGTATTTTGTATTTCTTCAATTACATGTTTTAGTCTATTTCCTTTTAGCTTTGAAACATTGTTTTTCTTTAAATGTTTGTTTATCGATTCAAAAAGAACAACCCACTCTGAATTATTCAACTGTGAAGTAACACAACTTTTTCCTTGTTTTCTGGCCTTTTTTTCACTGAGCAGAAATGCTTTCGCATCTTTTAAGGTTCTGATTTCATGTATTATCTCCCAATTTCCTAATGAATTTTTTTTTTTCTTTTTGAATCCTGAATTAATAGCACACTCCCCCTGGCCTTCAGAAACATCTGAAATATGTTCTGCATTAGATTTAAATTCAAAATTACTGCCAATATCTTTATTGTCATTTAATGTGGTCGACGATTGGATACTGTGTACGAACTCATTTTCCATTTGCATACACTTGAATGTAGTGTCCACTGATGTTTTCTTCCTATTAACATCAAAAACTTTCAAATCATTAATATCTTTTGAAACCATTAATATCTTTTTTCCTACAACTTGAGAAGTACCTGATGAACAAAAGGCATCTGACAATGTCTTTGGGGAAAGATTCGCTACATTTGTTTGCCTTGCCGCAAATGCAATGTTTTCTCCAGATTTTGTACTGGACATGGAGGATTTTACTTTTAGGGGTGTGTGCAATTCTTTCCTAAACTGTGTCCTCCTTTTTCTCTCAGAAATCTCACCATTAATAAATGTACGAGTTTCACCACCATCTTTTCTAACAGTTCCCATCAAGAGTTTTTGATTACCCCTACATAGTTTTTCTGGAATACCATTGTCTTCATTAGCAGTGGATGAAAAGCTTTTCTTCTTGGTCTTTTGTGCATGAAACAGATCACGGGAAATTTGCTCTCCAAAATCATTTTGAAGAGACATAGAATTTGATGCATTTATGGTTGCATGTACACTTTTAATTTTTACATCTTGAACAAGCAAATCACTGAAATCATCTACACTATTTTCAACAGGTTTATTGCCAGTTTCTGAAGAAAAGTTGTTGTTGTTGTTGTTTACCATTAATTCAATATTCAAATCTGTACTTAATTTCCCTTTTTGATTTAAGAAACCCACTTTTACACTTTCACCCAAACTGCCTGCCCCCTCATTTTTTCTGGCAATAAAATCTTCTCGGTTCACCAATGTTCCTAAATCTTTAAAATTTTTTATTAGTGATAGTTCTTCACTAATTTTCTGTACATCAACATCACATTTTAGATCTCCTGATATTGGATTTGATCCCAACCATGATCCCAGTTTTTCAGGAAATGTGTATTCTGTTGGAAGCCAACAAGGGCCTTTTATCTTCAGTTTTTCCAGATATGGCAAAAGTTGATCATACCATTGACATGCACAAATCATTAAATATCTTGCACAAAACCATATTCTACTTACCAGACTTAGACTAAAAAGGCACATGTTTATAAGGTGGCCCAATTGAAGTATTCCTTTGAAATAGTGAGCTGCATCTTCACATGCAATAGACAAATAGTTCATTATTTTACAAAAGCCTTGAGTTCGAACCAACAAGTACTGTAACATCTGTTTAGTAGGAACATAAATACAATCATTAATATCCTCAACACAAGAAAGTATTTTACTGAAGTTACTGTACACATATTGTAGATCCAGAGAAAGGTAACGTTTTAGCCCTCGATTCACCTTATATAAACACATTAGCCCTTTTTGTCCTCGCAATGACCTTTGCAATTTAAATAGGAGTCGTGAAAGTACTGCTGCTTCCCTATGCAGAAGATGTTCATGTTCCATTGCCTTCAATGCACCATTAAGGATAAATTTGAGATGTGTTATATCAATATCTCTGTTCTTCATTATCACTGAATTAGTTGGAGGCATTGAAATATCATTCTTGTTCCACAGCTCCATAATAGAATACACGTATGTATCAAACAACTATACACGCACAGACAGAACACACTTTCTTGAAATTATCACATTTCTCCGACTAAATGGACGCACCATCAATGTTCTCCCATGAAAGTTTGTTCATCAGGAATACCATAGAAAACACAACCTTCACTGGACCCCTGCGAAAAAAGTTTTCAAACATTAGTAATTGAAGAATGATACATGACAATGTACCATTAAATTATGCAAAATGTTTTATATTACGTGTACCAAGAATTTAATAATTTTATATTCCATATTACAAGAATATCAAGATACTAATGGAAGATATCACACGTCTGCACTTCACACAGATTCACATAGTACCTACACAAAATATTGAAGAGTTCTCGTTGAATCTTCCGTCTTGTCAACAAAAAAAAATTACATTTAATTCAAATTTTGCAGTACTATATTTTGAGGTTAGATTTGTATTTCTAAAAATCTCAGTTCGAATCGCCTAACACTCTCTGAAAGTTCTGTACCACGGTGTAAGATACCTTTACAAAGTGTTTCATAAACATTTATATACCGTTTATATACTGATATTGAGCTTCATGAAAACGACAGAAGACTCCAGTTACATTAGGATCAGCAAGGATCAGGTTACAAGGTCCCTACAACTCCCATTTAAAGTGGTAGAAACCATTTGGTGGCGCGCTCTGCTACATCACCTTCTTAAAAGAACTAAAACACGAACTGTTGCCAACGGTACTTTAAACGTGCGTGGCTGCTGGGTGAGTTCGCGGGACGCAAGCAGGTCCATAATGTTACAAAAGATAACGTCTATGTTCGCGCTTTCTTCAGATGTTTCATATAAGAATAGATTATGAATATTTAAACATTTAGAAGACACTTTCCTCACAAATTAGCCAATTTGAATGTGGGAAAGTTGGCGAGCTTAACAGCACCCGGCGATACTAGCGCCCTCTATAGTAGCACCGTCTAGCTTTGATAGAGATTTGCAGGGCCCTGCAGGTTAGGACCTCATTGGGTCAGAGAGACGTATTTCATTTCGTGACATCATTAGTCAGAAGTTCACATAACCGCCAACGTAGCGTCATAATCGCTAACACTCCCAATTTTCAAAATTATTCTTAGTAATCCTAATCTATGATGATGATGATGATGATGATGATGATGATGATAAGAATAATATAATAATTATAATAATAATATTTATTGAGTCATATATGCAATCATACATCCAAATCAACTAGAAACCTTGTAGAGAACGTTGTTTTATTAGATAACGATAGAAATATGAACGATCCGGCAACAGTGCCTAATCTCTTTGACCAATACTTTTTGAGAATTGCTGTCGATCCCAGTAAGGACCTTCAGCCACAAAATTCAACATGTTTCCCCAAAAATTTTAGACACGATGTTGGTTTCCGAAACTTCTTTCAATGAAATTCTCAAAATAATCGCTAGACTAAAAAAATAAAAATTCAGCCGGTTTAGATGAATTTCCGGATTGTTTGTTAAAGGCTTGCGCGCCCGCCATTATACATTCGTTAACTCACATATTTAATGTATTCTTATGCACAGGAATTTTTCCACATATATTTTTAAGATTAAGCCGCTTTTCGAAAAAGGCAACAAAAATGAAATTCATAATTATCGACCAATTTCTATTTTGTCCGTTTTTCCAAAAATATTAGAGAGACTTTTTTATGTACGAATGGAAACATTTCTTAGTAAACATGGCGCGTATTCAAATTACCAATATGGGTTTCGAAAATCAAAATCTACGGAAACAGCCATATTTTCTTTTCTTAAAGATGTCGCCTCATCCATGGATCATAACGAACCACCTAATGGAATATTTTTAGATTTTTCAAAAGCCTTTGACGTCATTGATCATAATATTTGACTCTCAAAATTACCATCGTATGGAATTCGTGGTGTTGCTCTAGATTGGTTATGTTCGTACCTTAAACAACGATCTCAGAAAGTAGTACCTTACTGTAATAATGGAACATTATGTATACACCTGTCTGATTCTTTTCCAATTGCATGTGGAGTCCTGCAGAGATCGATTTTAGGTTCTATTCTCTTTCTACTATATGTAAACGATATGCCCTCGACAATTGGAAACGGAAGAACAATTCTCTTTGCGGATGATATGAATATTCTTTGCAATAAAGAAACAGTAAATAGTACAATAGCAGAGATTTCAAATTGTTTTCGAATAAATAATTAAAGGAAATGAAAATAAAACTGTTTCAATGCAATTTCTATTTTAAACAAACAACTCTGTACTCCATTGAAAATGCCCGGTGTGCCATTGATGTTAAGGTAACAAATTTTTAGGTCTTTTCAATTCGTTAAACCTTAAATGGAACGTCCGTTTAAATGAATTGAACACTAAATTAAGTTCTTATGTACGCTTTCAGAATTCTTTCAAATTCAGTCAGCCTCCACACAGCTCGTTGTGCATATTTCGCGAATGTTCATTCCCGCCTGAGATATGACATAATATTCTGGGGAAATACATCTTATAGTTTAAGACCTTTAGATTACAAAAACGAATTGTACAAATAATAACTAAATCCCATCACGTGATTATTGTAAGCCTCTCTTTACTCATCTAGGTATTACCTTGTCTCTTCATATATGAATCAGTGGTTTTTGTCAAAAATGACTTATTTAAGGGCGGGAATATATTTTCAGCAAACGCCGTTGTCTATAACTACAACACTCGACGTAATAATCACATTCATCAGGTAACAGTATCAACATCATGAATCAGCCGACGTCGACGTACTGAGAGGCACGTGTCTGGCGCCACACGGGGGTCGGCAACGAATGGCTATTGTAAACTGGGGTCGATGGCAGACGGGGCGGCGACGGCTGGCTGGGCCCACGCGCTCAACGGGCAGAAGTCCTTTGAGGGTCGGCTGGCACTGACGCTCGAGAAAGAAGAGTGGGGGGCGGCGGCGGCTGTTCGCGTCCAGTCGAGCGGCGACTGACTCGCGTGACAATCTCGCGATAATTTCACGGCGACTGCGGGCCGATATTTAATAAACTCACTCGGTACTTTGGGCCCGATGCTATTATAACGCGTGAAGTGCGAAATCGCAAAGCATCATGCGCGGTAGAGCTAGGCGTCTAGGTTTGCCGTAGCATGTGTCGTAGTGTCGCGGTGAAGCCTCGAAGACAATTTAACTTGAAGTAAGATCACGGAGTTTCGTCTCGAAGTGTCGCGTTCAGATGAAGCGGCAGTCATCAGACTGAAGTCGGAATCGTCGGTAGATGTGCGAAGCGATGCTAGACGATTGAATGCCAATATTTAAGTGTCGCTTTCTATGAAGCGCTTCTGACTGCGCGAAATCTCGAGCCCAGACCGTCTTGTCTTTCTGCAATCAAAAATCCCTTAATTTGAGACGCGAGACTCAGCGGTGTCGAAATCGCCGATTCGCTGATGCGATGCTTGTGTCATTGCCAAACGTACTTTCTTTATCCGGCTAATTTTGAAAATCTTGGTCTCGAAGTGGGTCAACGCGCGTGGTCCTTTGTCCGGTTACGTTTTGCGTATGTTAGGGATGTGGTGGAAGGCAAGACGGGCTGGTGTCTCCGCGAGGCATTCTCTCGGTTATAACTGTAATTTTACTTTCTGATTGGCTCGAGTCTATTGCGTCTAAAATACTTTTCCACCAATTACATTTCGCTTCTGGAAAGTTTTCGAAATGGAATATTCCCATCCATCTCTCTCTCTCTCTCTCTCTCTCTCTCTCTCGTAGTTTAGAAAAACAATTGTCAATGGCTGGCGCGTCCCCGGGGGGGGGGAGGCTAGCGAAGGGTCACTTCTGACCAGGCTTGTTGGGGGCGGAGGGGCTGGGTGCTGGCAACAACCTGGTGCATGCACTAGGGCAGAAAAATTTACTTCGTCTACAGAGCTGACGAAATCTCTAAATAATTTAATAGAATATTGCTTATGTTAGAGGTGCCGGCTGGTGGGATTTATGTGCCGCCACATTATGCGTAATAGGACTTCGCAAGTGCTTGTTCAATGCTTTAGCTTTCATTTCAGAAGTCAATCGTGCATTTCTTGTGAATTAAGAACGCAGATCATCTGCGTACAGTATTGCTTCGACTCTTGATTTTCAAGCACATCATTTATCATCAGGTTGAAGAGTTGGCAACTGATAACTGTTCCTTGTGGAAGGCCTTGGCTTTGTACTCGAAATTTAGAGAATCGGTCTTAGCCGTATCGGGGTGTGCGTGGTGTGCGGGGGCCCTATTGCGACCGTATCGGGGAGTGGTGGCGATCATGGGACATCTAGCCGCACGACCGAGAAAGACACGAAATGCCGTGAGACATTCCATCGTGAAGACAGGATTTCATATGCTAAGAAATAAAAAACCAAGTGTAGATGAGCTGGAATCAGGAGTTTCTAGTTTTCCTTTCTTCTAGTTTCTCTCAGTCATTACATCTGTAAAATATGACATTAATACATGAATATTATTGATATATGCACGCGATTGTAAATTTAAATGCTTAAAATTTAATCACATTTAAGGATCAATGACTGTTTCTTCTCTAATTAATAGCCACAGGAGATATCTAGGTAAGTTCCCTCATGACTTACCTAGTTTTTCTCTGAAATCATCGCTCTTCTTTGTATTATGTGTTGATAAAACAAGATGTCAGTAAAATGTAAACGAATTTTTGCAAGTATATGACAGAATCCAAAGAAACCGTATTAGATACTAGAATATGAAGTGGAGAAAAAATTAAAATGTTTGGATTTTGCGAGCAATTGCAAATAATTCATAGTTCAAGTTCCTTTACAACTTACCTAGTTTTCCCCTGTAACCGCCAGTCTCCTCCATCGAATGTTGATAAGGCAAGATATCAGTATAGTGAAATTGTTTCTAAATCGTGAAATCATAGTAGGTTTAACTCCAAAGCTTCGGACCCCCATTGATTGAGTTCTTGCAAACAAATGAGAATCAAAGAGTACAAAACTTACTTATTACAAACCAGAAATACACAGTAAAATAGAAGTAAAATATTATAATTTTTGCTTGTGTCTGTAATTTTAATTTGGGTTTAAGAAGTATTAACTTTAAAAAATAATGTATAATTCATATATAGGAGATGGTTCAGAATTTTTTTAAGACAGTCGGAATATCTCTTTTTTCTTTACAGGTTTATTGATAAAAATGTATGAGCAGGGAGCTTGGAATTTCCAGCTCCACGCTTTAGAGCATTATATAATGCTCGAAGGCTTAGACAGTACAAACTCAGGCCAGATTCGTCAATGCTCCGGCCGCGGAAGCCTTCGCAATCCGGAGTGTTATCTGTCATCCAATCGGGTGCTTCGTTTGACTTTGAATAATGGTTCGTTTTGAAAGAGCGTTTTGTGAACCGTTCGTTGAGTTGAACCGGCTCTTTTGAACGGATTGTGAGTCTGGATCTCTGGAGTCGTGAGCAGATCGCACATCTGTAGCGTGCTCTAGCACACGGTGACGATAAGCATGGCAGCGAAAAGTAATTTGAAAACACGTGAGAAAGCTGTTTTTGTTGCCCAACAACTTCATTTTGCGAACACATTGGCAGGAAATGATCCCACGCATCGTGCTAGGGCTATGAAGAAATTGCGTAAATATTTTATTGCACGAGCAAATGGAAACTTCAGTGAGTTACATTTATAGTGTCTGTAAAGAATGTGGTACTCTTATTGTTTATTATTGTCTTAGAACACTTGAGATGAATACTATTGTTTGCTTAGGTTTTACTCACGACGATTTTATGCGAATATGGAAAGGCTTGTTTTATTGCATGTGGATGTCGGATAAACCTTTAATACAGGTAAGTACTTCTTTTATTTCTGCGAATTTTTACATTGAGATGTGTGCGCATTTTGTTAAATGGGCTTACGTTTTTTAGGAGGAGTTAGCAGAAGAGATCAGTCAGCTGGTACATTGCTTCCAGCATGTGGATACAGCATTGACATTTGTCCAAGCATTTTTTGATACTCTTCTAGTAGAGTGGTTTGGAATAGATTATCACCGGCTTGATAAATTTCAAATGGTATGTGATTAAATTATGATGTCTTTCCTTACATTAGAGTAAGTTATTGATTGTCAATGATCGAATCTGCAACTTGTGAACTGCCCATACTTTGTGTAATGTTATGAATTGTTTATAAATGAAGATAATATGTAGTGCTGCTACTGTGGTAAGTGCATTTCTAATTATTTGCTATTAGTTTGTTCGCAGGTTTCTTCGTCAAAGCCTAGAATATTGCAGGAATAAAGGCTGGAAGAAAGTTCCTGTATCTGGGTTGTGCGATGTATTTGAATCTACAATATTGTCTCCCTCTAAATGTGCTAATGAATGTGGTGATATTAGTTTAATAATGCATTTTTCGGATATATTTTTGGAGGAACTTGCCAAAGTTGGGAGGGGAAAGTTATCTAAGGAAATTATTTTCATCTTTCTAAAGCCATTTATGACACATTTAGCTGGACAAAATGATTCTCGCTTGCTAGATGTCATTCGTGACAGGGTTTTCTACTGTCTTATTAGGCAAAGTCCAGAAGGATTGGAATACGAAGAAAAATTTGAAGCGTGGAAGCGAGTGAGTAAATTATTTGGTTTTATTTTAAAAGGATTATCTTGTAATTATAGGCCATTTTTTAACAGTTGAAATTAAATTTTGGCTCAAGTCTAGAATACGTAACATCTTACAGAAGTCATTTAAACCGTCACTTTATGCTGCTTCAGCAGCAACTGTGCTGTTTGAATTCTGGATGTGTTTGTTATAAAAGTGAATTGGTAATTATGTGGTGGATAGACTCAAGGATGTTTATAGTGAACACGAGAGTTGAGGGCCCAAGCCTCCTCATGACTTGGATCCGGGCGAGCTAAGCGAGAAAACTTGCCTTTGAAAGTAAATTGGCATTACAATGCGTCAGGGATGTATGAAGTGTATGAAGGGCAAGCTATGAAAATCGCATATCCGTAGGTTTTATTAATTTTTATCAGAGCGCATAGCATAATTTGAGGGAAGGCTAAGGGAGACCCCCCACACCACCATGCTTCCTTGAGAACTTACTGTGTACCCTACTTTAACCCAAAATAAGTTTTCTAGTTTGCTATAAATTTTTTTTTTTTAGCACAGTTTTTCTTAGCACAGTTTTACTCTAGCCCTCGTTTTTCAGTATGTTCTGACCTATCTCGAAGCTGTGCAAGTTTGAAAAACCTTCTTTAAAGTTTGGGGAACTTTACAGAAGCTCCTGTGACATTTTCTAAATTTTCTCAGAAATGGCTCCTAATTTTTTCTTCAAGTTTTTTGTAAGACGGAAATACATTTGTAAAGATGGCATAGGTCTGTTTTTATCTGTTAACTTTGAATTTTTGAAAATTACAAAAGGTTGAATTTTATTCAGCGTCTCCTCACAACTACAATATTGAATATTTTTCTTCAAACAAAATTTGTTTTACATGATTAATTCGTTTGTGAATGCCATACAAATTTTTGTTTGTAAGATATAGTAGTTTTTGTGCAATATTGAGTGAAGTATGGGCAATCTTATAAAAATCATAAACATGAATTTCTTAAAAACTGTCCCAAATTTTATGCTTTAAACTTTTGGTAGAAATAGTTTAAGCGTACTGTAGATGGCAGAAACACCATATTGCTGAATTCTTTTGTTTTTGCATTAATTTCAGAATGAACTGTTTTGTCATCTGTCTCGCATTGTTAATATTTACATTAATGGCGATTTGAATACATTATTTCATTTGGCGGCATGTGATGTGTTAATTTTGCCTCTTTTCTAATAGGATTCTTTCTAAAGGGGTTCTACTATATGTGAATTTTGCACTGAATTTTTCTCGTGTAAAGTGATCAAATTTGATTTTATCTCACTGAGGATGATTGGCCTTGAGCCAGATGAAAATCTTCTGTTATTTTTAAAGCCATGAGGGTTTAGAACTGTAAAGAGTTTTATACAAAACTCCCATTTTTACTTCCTTGTATATGTATCAAGGAGAAAGTTACATGGTGCTGTAAAAAAACTTGAGATATCAGTAAAATTACGTGGTTTACGAATTTCTGATGGTGAAAGAGAATGGTTGTTGTTGTTTGATCTTTTTTCTCTTGAAAAATCATTGATAATGAAAATATTGATTTATCCTCTAAAATGTATGCTTTCAGGCTGGGTTTCCTGGAACAAGTTGGAAAGATATGGTTTTTGTGGGAAAAGAAGATAAACGTTCTGGTGTAAAGATCAAAGATCTAGATCCACGAGCTGGCAAAGTAAATGTTTATCTCCCACATTTACAATTTAATGCTGAATCTGTGGCAGACGCTTTACGAGAATCTTCAAAAACTACTTTAAATAAGAAGACCAAGAAATATATAAATAATATTGCGCACAAGTAATTATCCAATTAAATTATATATTTCCAAAATTATTGCTTGTTGAAAGATTTTGAATGTTTAAATTGTTTTAGATTTCAACAGCTGGCAGAAGGTAGATATCCTTTGGCATTAAACCTTTCGAAATCTCTATTGGATTCAAATAAATACAGATTTTCTAAGCAAAAAATTGATGATGCTGTGGAGAATTTATTGAATTTTGAGGAAAAGTTAAAAAAAGAGGACAAAGATATGAAAAACAATGGTAAGAGAAAGAAAAATGCTTCCAAGTCAACCAAATCGAAGAAAATTAAATTAGAAAACAGTTGTGCAGTTGAGGTAGATGATACCAGAGAAGATAGTGATAATTCTGAAAATGAAATCTCATCTGACGATGAGGATCAAGAAGAGTGCATTTATTCTTCTGACATTCCTCCTGCTCTGGACATTCAGACAGAAGAGTCTGATCTTGGAGTACTTCAAAATAGTGAAGCAGGCAACAATGAAAACATTATTAGTGCCACTGATGCAAAAGAACAAACTAATTACGAAATAGATGATAAAGGCACACATGATAGTGAAGCTGAGAATTCATTTTTAACCAAAATTACAAAGAAAGATAAAAAGATGAATAATGTTTCTTCTTGGAATGTAAGTGAATCTTCAAGTCTTCATGAGAAGGTAAGAAAAAGTTATATTCCTCAATATTAGATCTCTAAATCATTTCATGTACATTTTTTCAACAACAACAACAACAACAACAACATTTTTGCATAATTTTTGAGTTATATCATTTGAGTTTGTGTTAGTTCAAATGTTAGTAAAAGAGAAATAGTTGTGTTATAATATTAAAAAGCTGTGCTGTTGTGACACCTTTAGTTTTTAGAAATGCCTGTCCTCCACAATTGTTTGCAGAATTTTATGTCAAATAGGTTTTTCACAATCAGTTGGACCTCATTCCAGGCCCTGCGACTTCGAAATGGATCCACTATTTTATTTGGAAACTGTGCATGAAGCCTTAGGATACTTTTTACTTATTTATTGAATAAACATTACAAAACGAAGTAATGGTACATGTTGACTTGTGAGATTTCTAATGAAGATAATTTCTAGATGAGGTTCAGAAAAGTTGTGTAAATTCTTAACATTTCTAAACATTCGGTACTTAAATGTGGCGTAAAAAGAAATAAACATTTCTGAGTCTAAGGTAATAAAAATAACATATTCAAATAAATCCAAAAAGTATAATTATTAAAATTTTAAAAGCAAATCTTTCATCCCATATCTATTTAACTTCTATTAATCTACTTTAACTGCTCGTTCTTGACAAAGGATTACTGGCTAGATATGACAAATTATAATATATAAACTCAAATGTAATCAGTCTCCTAGTATTGATAAGCGAGACCCTGGAGTTAACCTTTTAGAAAGTTAAGGATAATCCACATGTCAATTTCACTAGGAACATTGAATCTACAAATTTTTTCATTGACCTAAGGGATGGTACATTCAGTTGTGTTGCAATAGAACTACAATTAAACCCTATTTGTATCCCTGCCTTTTACATAATTTTTTCGTTGGTCCTGTCGTGTAGAGTATGAAGAGTGTTCCCGTCTTACACATAATTTTTTTCTCTTTATTTTTTGTTTTCTCATATTCATGTCTATAGCAATAAAATCTGTTAAACTAGAACCTGAACAAGCTGGAAAACACTACTAAACTATTTCATTTACAAAACCCAATTCTAGAGCATGTAGTTTTGAATTTGACTGAATTTAAGGGTTTTGTAAATATATCTCCTAATTGCTCTTCAGAACGTACAAATTCTACCTCGATATCTCTTTTCTGATAAAGTTCCTGAACAAAATACTTCAATGTGTTTTGACCGTTTATAAAATTCATTGTTCTTTACAAACATGATTGCGCTGGCATTGTTGACAAACAAATGGTACATCTTCAATTGTACCGATTTCGGATAGTAATCGTTTGAGCCACATAAGTTTTTTAGCACCTTCACTGGCAGCAACAAATTCTGCTTCAGTTGTAGAAAGGGTAACTGACTTCTGCAGTTGCGAGGTCCACGAAGCAACTGTGCCATTAATGAGGGATACGAAACCATTTGATGATGCCGAGTGTTGAAGTCATCTGCAAAAATCGGTCTATAGGCCATTACCAAAATTGGCACAATAAGCACGTTAGGCTATACCAGTAGAGGTGAAAAACCATCCAAAATCAGTAGTACCATGCAAGTACCGAAAATTATTTTTAACGGAGATCCAATCAAATACCGTGGGTTTGTCCATGAATTGAGCAACTTGAAAAACTGAATAAGCTGTCTGACTGAGTAACAAAAGCCAAATACAACAACGAACCAACCGCTGAATGATAAGGAATTCAGCAGGGGTTTTTTGTTGAGTTGCATTGCTATTTCGAAATGATGCAGAATTTTCTCAATGTAGGTGTGCTGCAACACGAAACCAGATGCATGTTCGATGTGGATCCCCAAAAACGATTCAAGGGAACCTACAGTTATCTTAATATTGCAATTTTAAAAAGGACTCCACTGCAGCCTGTGTTGATCCCGCAATGAGTCAATCATCGACGTAAATTGCATCAAACAATTTTTCTCCTTTATGTAACCGAATATAGATGCATGGATCAGCTGTTGAATGTATGAATACATTTTTTTCCATTAATGAATGAATGAATTAAATTTGTTAATTCAGCTTCGAGGAGACTGAGATCATACAATGACCTTTTTAAACAGCAAACACAACCTGTTCCATCATCAGGTTTCCACAAGGTTTCCTTGTGGCAGAGTCATACATACTTCAGCATGTTTCGACATATAAAAATGCTGTTCAAACGTCAAATAGGCCAAGTACAAGTTGTTCTGCAGCTGCAGTTCCAATGAAGGCTTGAATAGAATCATACTGAACAACCAGACTAAACTTTTCGTTGTAATCAAGTCCCATGCGTTGAAAAATATCCCAAACAACCAGAAGAGCGTGATATCTGTCAACCGACCTGTCTGGTTTCACTTTCCCTGAAGTACCCATCAATTATCGATAACGTGCTTACCCAAGGGTAAAGATACCAGGTCCCACATGTTATTTTCGGCGATAGCATCTATCTCAATTTTCATTGCCCTTCTCCACTTATCAGTATGACAACTTTTAATAGCGTCAGTAAAATTGGTTGGCTCCAATTCCTCAAGAGCAGCTTCTGCTAAATACACTAAGCTGCTTCAGAACGACAAGCTTTATAGCTGACTTCATAGTCATTGAATCTTACGGGTGGTTGGATTGTACGAACAGGTCACGTATCCTGGACTGAAGATGCTCCTCCCTCTTAAGTGCCATTCTTGGCAGAGTCATATTCATCAGATGTGGTACTGGTCCACTGATGGTTGTCTTAGCACTTTTACGTCTCCATCTTGACAAGCGTCATCATCACAACTGCTTTCAAATTCGAGATTCCATGCCACTGCCACTTTCATGTTTCTCATTGAGACTCATTTACTAACTTCCAAATGGTTGCCAAAACACGACTATATTCATCAGATTGTTGTTGCAAACCTGCACGTATACCATCAGCCATTTTTTCTTTTTATTGTCCTTGAACCTAAATCGCCAAAGAGTGCCGAAATCGCCTATAATCAACCAGTTCTATCAGAAACTGATGTCAAGTACAATTCATTCATCAAGTAGTTTTTGCATGGTTTGGTGTGATTCCATGAAAAAATTTCAATCTTTAATCATGTAATTCTGTGAAGGACCAAAAAATCTTTTTCTCAATTTTGAAAATTTCAGAGGTTTTCATCAAAATTGGATCTTTGCCATTTTTGTAAGAGTATCTCTCTCGAGCTCTATTCGAGCAAAAAGTTAAAGATGAGCAATTTTTGTGATTATTCAGAGTATTCTAGGAGCTTTATGCCTAGTTCTCTAAAAAATCAAAAGTCTATTATATTCAAGGTGTCATGACGTTAAACAAATTGATCAGGGAATATCCATTTTTAGGTATTTATCAGGCACTTATGTTCTTCATAGACCGACTTGTAGAAGAAAATGCTTTTTTGATAAGTGGGACCTCGAAATTTTTTTCCATTAAAATCTTGCCATCTGATTTGCTGTTTTAAATAACTTTTTCAACCTGTATGAGAAAGTAAACATTTTTGATCTTCCATATAGAAATTTAACCACTCCAATAAAAATTAGTCTTCACTGGCAGGTCAACATGAACAAATTTTTCAGTATCCTCTTCTTTAAAAAGTTATAAACATTTTCCATCTGTGAAATTGAAATATTTGTGCTGGAAAACAAGGGAAAGTCAAGAATTTAGAATATTTAAAGGCGTTGTCTTGGTGGTCTGAGTTAGTGTATGAGGCTGTTGTACTAGTTTGCATGTTCAACCCTGATTGAAACTGTGGATTTTTAGGTGTGAAAAAATCCTACATATGCCTTCCTTTGGAGGGGAAGTAAAACCGTTCTGGCCCATGTACTAGATTTACTGCTTGTAAAAGCTTCTCAAGCCTAAAAAAAAAACTCTCACTTAAATTCAAATGCCTGTTTCGTCACTTGAGTTTTACTTTCTTTCTCCATTAGTTGGTAAAAAGAGTTTAGTGAAATTTGCATGATCTGGACCGAAGAGTGCCTGATGGCCCAACTCAGTTGAAGACTGATGACTTGACACTCACTACATAAAATAAGGCATGAACTGAACAGAACTTGCAACCCTGTGGAAATTCAGAAAGTAGGTTAAAATGTGCACCTCAACCTAAATGTGGTTGCATTGCAACTCTGCTAATGTTAACCCGTTAGTGTGGCACGCTGAGGGATGTTCCCTTTCACTTCGATTTGTGGTAAGCCAGGCATAGACAGAAGCCAACACAGAAGGGACCTTTAACGTTTCCTTTCATTTGCCGTTCACAGACAGCGTTTTAATGTGATATTTTGCTTTCTTATTGTGTGGTTTTTGATTTGAATATTTTTGTATTGACAAGTATTTGTTTCTGTCTCTTTGTGGTTAAAGCAACAATTTATTTAGAATATATCGCTTTCTTAGTACTGTATAGCTTATTACATTAGCCAAACATTGAGTTATTTAATTATTTCAATTTGTTTGTTGATAAGTGTGTTTTTAATATTTATAATGTTCATCATGTGTTTACAATAAATTACTAGTGGACCCGGCAAATCTTCTGCCCTTCATCTCCCTCTTTCTCCTTCCCTTTCCCTCTCACCGTCCCTGTCCCTATCTGTTTGTCTGTCTGTGTGTGTCTGTCTATGCTTCTCTGTCCCTCTTCCTGTCTGTTTCCATCATTCTGTCCTTGTCTCTCTCTCTGACTCTGTTTCTCTGACCCTCTCTGTCTCTGTCTGTTTCTCTCTGCGTCCCTGTCTGCTTCTGCCTATCTCTCTCGCTCGCGCTCTCGCTCTTACATGCGCCACTGTCCTGACCTTGTCAAACCCGCCCTGCATCTCACAGAAACACTCAGCAACAATAAAGCCCAGGAGGAACTCAGTTTGACCGGAAATTTAATTAAAACTAAGCACAATTTTGTTCTGTAGCACCATCTAGTGGACTTACAACAATGCACACTATAATAACTAAAGAAACCATGATGTTTTTGTTAATACATATGTAGCTCTTTCCAATAGAATAATTTTGTCTAAAAATTGAAGTTGTGGTTTTGTCAAAGATTCATTTAGGAACCCTTCAAAAGCTAAATTCGTGAAATAATTTTCTTTAATACATAACTACATAAACAACTCTGTAATGCTTTGTTCTTTTAGCAGTCTGCTGGGATATTCCAAGAAAATAAAGATAGTGAAAAAGATAATATTCTGGAGGATGTCTTGAATGGGGAAATACAAACAAAGATGAAAAAACCTTCTTTTGAGGTACCCGCGTTAGAAAATGAATTACAGGTATTTATATTGTTCAAATTATTTTGTGCGTTCTTTCATACTTGTTTCCTGAATATATTTTACCTTATTCACATACAGTAATGAAACATTCTGTATTTCACTATCACTTGTTGATAACTGGTATGCTATTCATGAGGTGTTGGTTGTGGTAAATAAAACTGCTAGTTTACCAATGTTTTGGAAATTATGCATTCTGAGGAATAATCATACAGCATAATATAATAATAAATTCAATTCATGCCTAACTTTGTGATGAGATTCAGACCAACAGGCCCGCTCTTCTGTCTGACCTAGCAAATTCCGTTACTCTCTTTTCACTGTCTAGCAGAGAAAGGAGGTATCACCGTGGTGACAAAATGGGAGAATTTAATTTTTCTCAGAGGCTTTATTTAGACTTGAGGAGATTTTACATGCTGTAAGTCTACAACATGCACAGCTGGCTTTACTTCCCATCCAAAGGAAGGCTATGCTTTTTAGTGTTGCCCAATTCTCTTTCCAGCTGACATCTATTGGTCCCAAAAAGGCATTTTTAATATTTTCTCAATTCTTCAGCCCATAATAGTAATATGCCTCTTTGTAGAGACAGTGCTAAATCCTATAAGATGACGTGAACCCAATTCTATTCTATTTTTTTGTTTCTCGGATATTACAAAAATGTAATTTTTTTTACTTCTTTCTCACGTTGTCATAATTTACATTAGTGGCGATTTGTTCACATTATTGCATTTATAAGTGCATGTGCTTTAAATGTCTTCTGATAAAGTTTGTATTGAAATAGGCCAAAAATTTCTCATTTCAGAAATGCCAAACACCATTTTTTCAACCTTTTTGTATGGATAGTGCTAATTGCACTGTTTAAAATGACAACATTTATTTTGTCATCTTAAACAGTTCAATTCTTTTTTTTTAATTACACAAATGTAAGTTTTTTAAAATGTCTCTTATGTTAATATTCATATCTTCAGCGATTTGTATACATTATTGCTTTTATGAGTGGAAGTGCTTCAAAAGTTATTTGAAAACTTGAGAAATTTCTGTGAAAAAGAGCTTTACAGTTATGCTTAAACATTTTCTTAAATACTCATCCAAATTTTTCAAAAAAAAAATTTCTCATAGTGCGAAGTTCTTCTTTTCTACAATATTCTTGAAGTAATATTTTGGTTTCGGTTCTACCACCCAAAGAATTCAATTTTTTGAATCCAGTTTTATGGTTGTTTAATTTAATTTCTATACGGGCTGTTTCAACTGGTATCAAATCGTTTTGGAATTATGGACAAAACTGCAGGGTAAAATGTTTGGAGTGCTAGTGTTGTCCAGTGTGGCTTGCATAATGTTTACCAAATTGCACAATAAAAATTCAACACATTAAAGGAAATTTTCAAACTCAATGGTTTCACTATTTATTGAAACAGGATTGTCCTCCATCAATATAAATTTCACAGTAAATTTAAAAAGTTGCACAATAATATTGTACTCCACTACTATCAGTTATTGTAACTACATTAGAATAAACTACTTCACAATCATGTCTTAATTAAACAGTAAACCCTCTGATTAATTTGTTAAATTATTCAAATCAGGGAGATTGTATTATACTTGTCTCGTAGAAATGAATGCCAAATAATTCTCAATAGGCAGACAAGCAGTTCAGTATTAATATATTTATTACACCCATTCAACGCACATTCTTGCAGAGCTGATTGGGTTATGAAAAGATTCAAAATAAGTCAATGGTTATTTTCAGCGTAAAATTAGCTTACTGTGTCAAAGAGTAGTTCAAAATGCATGAGCAATTTAAGCAGACACATACAGTGCCACTCATCCAAAGCCTTCGTTTCTGCCAGATAATCTAATAATATTGCAAATGGGCTACAAAAAACTGAAACAATATTAAAAATACCATTTTCATATTCATGTACATACACTAGGCAAGTAGATGCTTGTATGAAACATAAGAATTAGAAGAATTGTTTGGAAGTAGTAATAATAATTATAATTTTTACTTTCAGGATACTAATGTTGTTGAAGCAGTTGAAGAGACAAATGTGTCAGTAAATGTATTACCAGAAGATATGGAACCTCAAGATACCTTTGACAACGGAGAAGCTAATGTAAGTAAAGTTCTTTGTATTTTTGTAAGAATGGAAGGGGGATATTAAATCATTGGATCACAGTAAATTTATCTTTCAACAATTGCGTTTTCTGCAAAACAAATTTTAAATTTGATTGTTGAATGATTACATGAAATATTTCTTTGAAACCTTTTGCAGATAGTCAGAAATAAATAATATCTATTTTAAAACCTTCCTGATTCATGTACTTCTGCTGAACTGAAGTTGACTTCAACACTTGTAGTGTAATGAAGACATTAATACTTAGATATATAGTTTTTGTTTTTATGTAACAGTGCATTGTACACATTTAGAGAGTGTTAACACATTTTCCACCTCAGAATAAGTTTACTTTCATATTTCTGCACTAATAGATGCTCTATGAATCTGAATGTAGTTTGGATTTGTGTGTGCATCACCAACTACTTTCAGAATAAGGGGTTCATTTTCGAGTTAGTGGCTTTGCCTTGTCTTGACAATCACTTGTCATTAATGCAGTCTTACATGCTTGGGTGAGTGGCAATTGTGTGGGTGCAGTATTTGGTGGTAGTGAGGTCGGGGAAACAAGTTGGGTGGGATTCAAAGTGTAAACTAGCTGTTGTTTGAAGAGGACGGGACAGAATGTGAAGAGGAGTGATAGATGATGGATATGTAATTTTTTGTCCTTTTCATTTGTAGTAGTTATTTCTGGAATGCTGGAGAGAGCATGTTTTCTTTATGGTCTGAGAGGTTCGAGTTCCAGGATGTCAAGTGGGTTTCAAAATCTTGGGGTATATCAGGATGGATTGGTGAGGATGTGGTTATATTTCTGAATTGTTGGAAGTGTAAGTTTTTGAGGGCTTTGCTGATGGTCTGTTTCACTGTGTCAAAGATGTTTTTGTCAAGGAATTGTCAGATCTCTTTGCTTTATTGTTAAATTTCTATAGTTAGTGATGGGTGATGGTCTTATGAATCTATTTTCCATTTTGATTAGATTGTTGTTCATTTTGGCAATGATGGACCCGATCTTGATGATTAAAAAAAAAACAAAAAACTTGGAGTTAAATCCAAAAGTTGAAATGTTTATTGAAGTTTGGTATCACAACTATCTAGCATGTGTGCAATTTTCAGATTTTTATCTGGTCCCCCAACAGAGATATTGCTGTTGAAAATAAGAGAAAAAAAATCGGAAATTTCAATTTTTAAGAGGATGAAATTTTCAAGCGGAATGTTATTTATCAGTGCTATTTTACAAAATGTAATGATATTGTTATGTGTGAAAGCATAGAAATTAAGGCTGTAATTCTATTCCTTCTTTGAGAAATTACTATCTGAAAATCGAATTTTCTTCATTCGCGTTCCATAGATTTAGTTGCAATTATTTCCCAAATAGAAAAATAGAATGTGTGTAAATATTTCAGTTTGTAGGCCAGAGTATATGAATACAGTGCTTTTTATTCTAGAATGCTAGAACAACCCAGAGCTGAGTAATTTAGAGAAGAGTAAATGTGTACAAATGCGAAAAATGTCATTTACAAAACTGGCTGCCATTTGTAAACCAGATACAATAAAAAAAGAGATATTTTTGACCAGCCCTAAACATAAGGAAATGAATGTACAAAATATGTATTTTTTCGAGATGGTTGAGCGACCAATTTATTAATTTCTGGAGAACTTAAAATGGGTTGACGCAATAGCTAAGAATAGGAGGCCCAAATTAGATCCTTGGGGTACTCCAGAAACAGGAAAGAGAGGATTGATCCCCACCTAATTCAATATATTTAACACATGATTCAAAATAAGATTCAATTAAACTGTAATTATTTGATGGAAAGTAAATGCTAACATTTTCACATAGTAACATTATGGTTTAGAGCAGGACCTTTGAATTCTCCATCAAAACCGGGGACAAAGTTGGAAGGTGCTACTATAGGAGGTGTTAGTGTCGTCGGGTGCAGCTGCAGGTTAGGCTCGCCAACTTATGCCCATAAAAATTGGCTTATTTGTGAGAAATACGAAAAGTGTCTTATAAATGTTCAATTATTCATAATAAATACTTTAAGAAATTTCTGAAGAAAGCGTAAACATCAACGCTATCTTTTGTAATATTGTGTGCCTGCTTGCATCTCTTGAACCCATACAGCAGCCACGCATGTTTTAAATATCGTTACAGCAGTTAGTATTTTAGTTTCTGTAAGAAGGTGCTGCAGGAGAGCACTGTGATGGTTTCCACCATGTTATATGGGAGTTGACAGGCTTTTATTTCGAGTATCAAATGCCTTGGAGAAGTCTGTATAGATTACATCTATTTAATCTAGCTCTGCCAAATTCAAAGCAATAAACTGATATGTATATAGAGCAAAAATCCTGCCTATAAAACACCATAGATGCGATTCTCTAAAAATTTTGAACAGTTAGCTAAATGAGGAAATTAGCTGAAATGGAACATTACTTATTACACTCTTTTTAAAAACTGAATAGAGTTTTGTGTGTGTACAGATGTCTGGAAAGGTACTTGTAGAGTGTGCTGTCTCAAAAATCAAATGCAAAGGAGAAACAAGCGATTCTGAACATTTGCTGTGCAAAATTGAGAGTATATCATTTGGGCCAAAAATTGAGCATATTTTTTAATTTAGGAAATATAAATTCTGGATCAATAAGCCATCAGCATGAGCAATTTGAGATTAACCTAAATGATTTACATTTGAGAGTGTAGGCGTCCGCGGCCGGAGTCAGTATTTACCTGGCTGTTCGAGTGATGACGCGTCCATGGCGAAGGTGCCTATGTTTCGGTCGCCATTCTGCGTCCTTCCTCAGGGCGTAATGCAGCTTAACGCCCTGAGGAAGGTTGCAGAATGGCAACCAAAAACATCGGCACCTTCACCATGGACACGGCGACATCCAGACAGCCAAAAAAATAGGATTTACATTTGTAAATGATTTTTCAAAAACAGATGCAAAATTATTTACAATAGTATTGGGATTGTTACAAGGTGTCCATTATTCAATAGGCACTTTGGAATGCAAGCATATCTAAATTTGCATTGTCAGGGACCAAAATCGCAATGTATTATTAATTAAATGTTTCAATATGCCTATTGTAGTCTGCGTACAGAACTTTAATTTTTTTTTAATTGTGGCATTTTAGTTTGATATAAAAAAGTAGGTTAATATTTCCTGTGATCTTATACTTTCGAAACTTTATTTGATGAAAGTATTGAACCATGGTAAGTAATCATAAGATCTGGTAGAAACTAAGGGAACTACACTCATTACGGTATAAACTTTTTCATAGAATTCGCAACATTGATAATTAACATTTGTACTTTCACAATCTTCAAAAATTGTTGTTGAATCCACCATTAAGAGTTGCTCAGTAATAACAGAGAAATTGGCTATTTTATAATTGCGAAGTGCAGATTTCCTTTATATTGGAAAATTGGCAAGTTCTGGTTTTCTGAATGGTAAGTAAAAACCGAAATTCCAAGGAGGGTAATATGAATCAATATTAAATATAGGATCTAAAGTGTCGGATTCTTGTTAGCCGTTTATTTATTATTTTTATGTTAACTTTATAAGTGTCGATGAACACTATTATACCTCTGCAAACCTGTGGCTGGCTTCTGTTTTCTTTCTTAAAAAGAGATGATTTTTGCTTTCTTCCATGTATCAGGTATTTGGCATTTTCTCCAACAATTATTAAATAGTTCAAAAAGTCTGTTCTTCAGTTCTTCACCTCCATATTTCAACAATTCTGCATTGATGCCTTCTACCCCGGAGCTTTTCCATTTTTCATTCTTGACAGTGCATATTCCGTTTCATGTTTGTTCAAAGGGTCTATTTGAGGGTGGTTGTATTATGACTTCTTTTCAATGATTACAGTTGGCTCATATAGATCTTTATAATAATTTAGCCAGTCATCTTTCTTTATTACATTTAATTCTGCTCTGTCCTTTTCCTCTGATTTTACATGTTTCATGATCTTGTAAGCCAGATTCTGCCTACAATGGACATCATTTTCAATCGTGCTGATGAAAAGGTCCCACGATTTTGAGCTCAAGCATCAAGAAGAGTTTTTGATTGCTTCGAGTACTTGGCTAAGTTCAGAAGTGTCTTTATTAAAGGAAGACATTGCAGGACTGGAGCAAGTATTACATTTTCCAGAATCAGCTGATAGGGTTCTTTGTGAACATCTCTGATGAAACTGAAGCGCAAAAAATTGTAGATTGATGCTTAAGATTGCCTTTACACCAATTACAAATTCACAAATTACTATCTGTTTTCAGAATAACAGTATAACTAACTGTGTTCTTGTGATCGAATGTGGAATGTGATCAAGACATTACAAAGGCAAAATTTAAAGTTTCAATAATTACAGATACCAAGCACTAAGTTTGTCACAAATCCAGTTAACAAAAAGTCCAGGCTAAAATTCAGTAAGTCTTCAACAAATCCAGTCCCATCCAGATACATACATGTATCTATGTGTGCGCGTGTGTGTGTATGTATGTATATATATATATATGTATGTATATATATATATGTATATGTATGTATATATATATATATATGTATATATATATATATATATATATATATATATATATATGTGTGTGTGTGTGTGTGTATGTATGTATGTATATATATATATATATATATAAAAATTAAAAATTGCCTTAACCTTAGCTCGGAGCACAAAATTCACAGGATCCAGGATCGTCCCTTACAAAGGTTGTAGTAAGTAATATACATCAGAAATTGTGAAGCAGAAAACAATGAATATCAATTAATGTTATATGTTTAAGGCAATTTTTAAGTTGTGGAATTTTCTGTTTACTGTTGAAAGAAATCAACTTTGTCTCAGATTTTGTTGGCTCCACGTGATAGTCTATTGAAAATGTCAAAGTACAATCATTTTGTCCTCCCGCTTGTTATGTAGAATGGCTTGTGAAGTCTTTTGCTTCGTTGAGCTAAACTACACTGGAGACAGGATATCAGGATATTTAATATTATTTCCAAGGGTGGAATGCAGAACAATAAGATCATGATCATGTGCATTTGAAATTTTGTGTTTGTGCAGGGATGGATTAGTATTGGTGACAGTTAAGTCACTTGTTGTCTGGCTGGGTTGTTGCATTGATGTGTCTAGTTATGGTAACTTTGCTATAAAGTGTGGTTCCTAGGTACTTGGTAGTCTTTGTCCATTTGATCACAGTGTTCTATTACAAGACAATTGGGGAAGTACAGGATTGGTGATATGTCCCTGCTTCTTCTAGAGACTAAAACAACTTCCTAATCTTTAGTTCTCATAAACAGCCTCCTAAACAGTGGCGCCCTCTTCAACTATTGAGGTTAAGGGGTTAAACAGACTAACAAACTAATTGATTGGTTATTTTTAATATTGTCTGTCGTTATAAATCTAGGATTTGCAAGAGGGAGACGAGAATGAATCAAAAGACGCCTGTGAAGAAGAAACAGATGATCAAGCAAAGGAAATTGTAACTCCCGTACGGAGATCCACAAGGAGAAGATCTAACATGGTTTGTATTTGTTTACTGTACTACATATATTATAGGCAATTGCCCAATTACAATAATTTTTTTTAACGATGAGATTTTTTCTTAATGAAATCTGTTTGTCAAAGACTGATCTTTAAAATATTGCACAATTTTTAAAAAATATGAGTAGTTTTCGTGTAATTTTGCATGAAATATAGAAAATGTAAAGAAAAATTTTTCTTACTAACTACTCTAAAGTGGATGAATCTTGTTCCTATATGTAGTAAATCACATTTACTCATCACGAAGTCAGAATCCACATTTGGTGGGTCCTTAATACCAAAATATCAATTGAAGGCAAAATACCTATCTGAACAATGCTAGCAGGTAAACCACAAGCAGAATTTTCTTCAAAATCGATTTTCTCAAATAGATCTGTTCAAGTTTTTTGCGCTTTATTTGTTACTCTTTCACATGGGGTCTCAGATTACATTCCAACAATTAGAACTGCATGACACAGCATTTTGACATTCTCAGGATGACTTCTCATTGTTGGGAAGAGTTTGTGGGTGAATGGAATGTTGTTTAGAATTGTTTAATTTGTGTTGATGTATTAGGTTAAGTTTTTGCGCATAATGTGCTATAATTGGTGATGCGCTATACAAATGATAGCTGAAATGTGGTAATACAGACGAAAATAATGCTATTATTTTTTGTGACTGTTAACGAAAAAATACATACTGTTGTCATACTGGGTTTTACATGCATGTTTTAATTGAAAAATTTTGGAGCCATTTTTGAAAAACCATTGTTTGAGCATTTCTGAAAGTGTGATGTAAATTTTAATGACATGAGAGGTGTATAAAAAAATTTCATTTGAGTAATGTTTCAAAATACAAAAGATTTCATCAAAATGGTGTTTTTTGTCTCGTGCAGTGCATTTAGCAATGTCCTAATAAAAAGTTTGAAGAAAAAATTTTAAGCTGTTTTTGAGAAAATCATTTTTAATATTGCTCATGTTTCACTGCAAAATAAGCAAAAACTACATACCACTTATATGTATGTATATGAGAAAGGAAAAAAGATAGTAACAGTAACATCTATAATACTGTTTCTACACCCACATCTTCAGTTGTGTGTGTACACATATTTGTATTGCGCATCGAGGCTTAATTGTGAAATTAAATGAATTAATACAATGAATTCTATGCACTCTTGTGTTATGTTTATATTAAAGTTTTCTCAGAAAAATATATTTAGAAAGAGTCATTGACTATATCTTTACTTTCAATTCAGTATTATTGTCTGAATTAACTTTACTTAATTCTTTGAATTAAGATTATAAAATGTTATTTGATTATAAGATACTATTTTCTTTTTAGCAGGCTACTACACCTAATAAAGTTAATCAGGAAGAAGGTGAAATTACAAGTGAATGCAAGTTGTCTAATGAAAATGAACAAACTCCATTCCCTAAGAGGAAGTCATTGACACCTCGTTCCATGATTCGAGCAAAAAGAAGAATAAGTACGGTATGTAGTGTAATTTTCTTTCAAATGAAAAACTTAAGTATTTAGTGTTTTTCTTTATTCAAATAATTGTCTAGTTATTTGGGTCGCGTTGGACTTCGTAGGTGTCATAAAATACACAGTGTAAATTGACATGATGATGACTTTCCAGTTAAAAATTATTTTAAAAAATTAAGATGTAAATGGTATAACATAATTTGCAAATAGAGAAGAGTAAAGAATTTATGTACATGCCTTTCCCCTGATTCAGCTGATTCTTTTCTTTGTCTGCTGTTTTAAGTCAGAAAATTATTTTCCCAACATATTGTCCAGAAGTATTGTGTCAGTTGTGACAAATCAGAAACGCAATGTAACAGATCAGTTGTGACGCCCTTATCCAATCAGGAGCCCCATTATCAAAAAGCTCCTAATTGGATAACCACATCCCGCTGATACTCTGTCACAAGTCACTATATTTAGAGCGGACAATAACTTGTACTCATCAATCAAGAGGTGTCATGTGCAATGCTCTCTGAACGGTGCTGGCCACTGGTGCCGAAATATTCCACACTCCGCCAGATGGTGACACATGTACAAAGAGAGATATTCAAATTTGAATTGTCACTTTGTTTGGTTCAAGGGCTTGTAAAGATTACCATCTTATCTGAATTGTATTATCGATTCTACAAGAGCTTTGGTAAATGATGGTCACAATTTACCAAGATATAATGTCCTGTCCATAACTTCCCCATTTTTTGATAAAATTTTGAAAATTTGCAAGGGACTTTGTGTTAAGCCCTACTACAAAATTGAAAGAATTTGTTGCAAACTCTCAGGGTCTCAAGCTAGTTCAGAAAAATGGAGGAACATTTAGATTTCGTAATGAATTGCAGTGGCATGTGTTCTTGGCATTGAGGAAGTATGTCACAATGCATACTTTGCCCTTGGCGTAAGAGAGACTTAGAGCACTTATCTTAAACCACTACCACAATGAGAGAATCAACCGTTGTACCATCTGTGAAAAATACATTTTTGTGCTAGAGCTTCGGGTATTGTAACCTTGCTTTCAAGATATTCCTCATCCTATTAAAAAATGTCACACAGGTCTGAATGATTTTTGAAGTAAAATTAAGTATGTTCAAGAGGAAAATGTCAAACTGTTGGCAAGATGTGACGGAATTGAATCCAAACAAAATGACTTTAATATGCAAATGGAAGCTAAGATGCGATGATGTGTTTGAGGCGGCGATGGTGTAA